ATCTGATGGTGGAACATCTTTCTATATCTGATGGTGGAACATCTTTCTACATCTGATGGTGGAACATCTTTCTACAGCTGATGGTGGAAAAATGAGTCCAGGGAAACTGTGACACGAGTGAAAAACGCCCAGAAACTGTCCAGAAGGGAACAAAACAAGGTGACAATTGAGATTTTTGGCGTCCAGTCTGAGCCGAGTCCGTGTGGATGATACGTGGTTCATACGTGACGAGCGTCGGCGGGACTTTAACAAAACGTGGACTCACCTCTCGCATCATCAGCGTGCTGTCCTGGGAGCTGTTTCCGTACGAATCGCCGTGAGCGTCGTTGTGGCCTCCCATCATCCCGAAGGACTCGTTGGTGCTTTGACTCGCTGCCGGCCTGAAAGCAACGTTTGGTTAAGAACTGAAACTACACATGAAGACAAGAAGGCCAGGATCCCCAACATTGCTTCTGTTTGCTAAACGCCAGAATATCTGACTCTGACGGAAGTCATAAAAAAGTCACAATAAACTCTCTCTCTCTCACTATTCTGCCGTTTAGCAAATAGAAGAGTTTAGTCTGATTTAATGTCAGATAGTGAGAAATAAAAGCTCGCTGTGGAAGTCGCGGGTTCGTCGCCGACTCACATGATCCGCGGGATGTCGCTGACGGCCACCGTGCCGTCGTTGGCTCCGCCCTCTCCCTCCTCGTCCTCACTGCTGTGGGACTCCTCGCTGGACGACGAGTAGTCGGTCACTTTGACCGGCGGCCGGCTCGTCTCTTCGCCTTGTCGCAGCTCTCGCAGCTCTTTGGCCAGAGCGGTCAGATCCTGAAGGACGACACGTTAAAATTTAAAAAAAAGAGTCACAAAATGTACAAAAATAAAAGCAGATTTTTAGTCCAACTGAAGTTCAAAGAAACACGTTTTTAACTGTTCGTCATGCAGGAAGAACAAGAGCAGAGATTTTAATTTAAAAAAATGTAAATTATCAAAATATTTTCTTAGAATATCAATAAAATGTGTAAATATTACTTTAAAAATGTGTTTTTACATGTAGAAAATAAAACATAATAATTGAAACATGATATAAAAATCATTTCTACAACTTTTATCAGGAATTTAAATAAAACAAAAAATAAAGAAAAGATTTTTACTGAAACTACTTCAATAAAAATCCAATTCAATAAACAATTTTTTAAATTTTTTAAAAATAATTTATACGTAATTTGTGTTTTAATTATTTGAAATATTTTATGCAAATGTTTTAAAAGAAATTCAATTAAAATAAATAAAAATGTACATTTGTCTTTATTTACTTTTTGTAATATTATTGTTTATTATTTCTATTATTTATGCTGTTTTTATTATTATTTTATTATTTATATTATTATTTAATTTCTGTTATTTTATTGTTATTTTTTTCCTTCCATCTTCAGGCTCGACCTTCTGCTCTGACAGACAGAAGTAAACCAGGAGGCGTCGTCGCTGTTTGTTTGCAGCAGAAACATCTCGTCTGTCCCGCTGGCGGTCACGAGGAAGCGTCGCCGCAAAGCGTGAAGTCAGGTCGGCGTTTCATTAAGTTCCAGATGGATATCAGACGCGTCTAATTAGCCGAGTAAAGGGTTCGTAATGGAAAAGCCGTTCGCTGGTGGAAGTAATTTACATTTTAAATGACGTTCAAGCAGCTTCGTGCACTTCAGCAGGCTTCAGACAGCAGAGCAGACAGAAGCTCCGGCTGCTGGAACGATCAAACTGAAGCCGTCTTTGAGGTTCTGTTGTGAATTTCTGATAAATTTTAAACTGAAATGTAAGAAAAGAAGCTGCCAAACAAAGAAAACGACTAAATGTGTCTCAGAAATGCTGATTTTTATTGATGTTATCGGCGTTTTTAATAATTTCTGTCTCTGCTAAGCGTAAATAAAGTTTAATATTATCAATATGTTGTCTGAACTCCTTTATGTCCAGATTTATTTCCAGGGACGGCGGATCAACCCGAGACCTCCAAACACCACAAACCAGAGAAAAAACGACTCAAACCTGTCGTCAGCTTTTCTCTCATCTTTGATTTTCGTCGAGATATTTATTTATCGTTTATGTTTCCAGTAAAATCACAGAAAAAAAAGAATAATTTGAATGTTAACTTCTTTAAAAAAAAAAAAAAAAGGCCCAAACTGTGAATAACGTCACATCAATAAGCAGAATGTTCACAAATGTAATTTGTTCTTTTACAGGCTGCAAAATTAAACAGTTTTTAAATTAAATTAGAAAAAAAAATCTCTATTTTACATGTATTTGCTGTTATTTGAAGGAAAAGTCTGATATTTTGTGAAATTATAGATAATGCCTGCGTCAAAAATCTGCATTTTTATTATAAATTGTGATTTATTCTTTAACGTTTGACTGTAAAATTACACTTTTTGCTTTTATTAAATTAAGTTCGCAAAAATAAATCATTTCACAGATATTTGCTGCTAGTGGAAAAAATAAACAATTATATTATTGATTGACAAGTTTTAACAATATTATTTTACAGATTTTCCCTGTTTTGTTAAATTATCAATAACATCAACTAAAATTTATAGAGAAAAAAGTAATTAATTAGTTAACTTTTATTTAATTAACATAAAAAAAACAACTGGCAAAAACCCCAAATATTTTTATTATCAGAAATTCATTCTTTCACAACGTTTAACCATAAAATTACGTTTTCTTCATTAAAGTCAGGAAAATCTATTAATTTTAACCGTATTATATGGACTGTAATTTATTTATTTATTTAAAAAGTGTAAAAATTGTAAATAAAGTCCAAATTAAAGTCTAATTTGTTCCTTCAGAACGTGTGACTGTGACGTTACTCCACCTTCAGAGTATTTAAATCAGCTGGAATATCTTTGTTTTGTTAGCATTTGTCTTTATTTTTTAGGTTTTAATGTATTTTTCTGGCACCATCACAGCCAGAGTTTGTCACAGCGCATGAGCACAAACAACAACAACAACAACAACCCTGATAAACAAACATGAAGAGTTTAGATGGAGCTCATCAGGACGCTGCAGCTCCTTCAATGCAGCAGAAGCCTCGATGCTCTGCAGACGCACAAACAAACAGCATGCAGCCGTTAGAGGAGCTACTGAGGCTGCAGGACGAGGAGGCAGCGAGCAGGAGGAAGAGGAGGAGCAGGAGGAGGAAGAGGAGGAGGAAGGTCAGTGTTTTCATGCTGCAGTGCAGGAGAGTCAGAGGCTCTGAATTCAGACAGTCAGTGAACGCCTCATCGTGCTGCTGCGGTTCCGTCACGTTTAGACAAACGCTGAACGATGAGCTGAAGATCAGGTCGACAACACGTCAACTATACGGATAATCGATTGAAATTTAAAAATATTCTACATATTTCACTAGAAATGCAATTAAAGAAGAAATATTATTTAAAACATTAACTTTACAAAAAATAAAATTACATTTATTTTGAATATTGAACTGGAAATACAATTAAAATAAGAATTTATATTAAAAAAATAAATAAAAATAATAAAAACGGAAAATGAAAATAAAGTCTTTCTAAATATAAATTAAAATAACAACAACTATATTTTAAAAATTGCAATAATCGATTAAAATTGAAAATATTCTACATATTATTATTTTAAAGAAAGTAAATTTTCTACGTATTTGACTGAAAATGCAAATAAAACCAGAAATACAATAAAAATTTAAAAATACTATAAATGCAAAAAATACATTTTTTTAAACTTGAAATTCAATTTTTAAAAAATTATAAACAAATTTGATAAACATGAAAAAAAAAATCATGGACAAAATTGAAATATTGTTGAAGAAAAGCAACTAAAGAGAAGAATTATGTGAAAACGAGTCATTTTAAATATGAAAATTAAACAAAAATTAAAGTGCAATTAAAATAAATAAATCTCATTAATTTATTTCTTCTCTCCTTCGAAACACTAGAAACTAATTCATATGACGGAAGCTGTTTTTAGGACGCAGTGAAATGTGTGAAGTAAATATTTGATTCTACAATATCAGATCAGGAGGACTTGCTGCTCTGACGGAGGATCAGACTGAACGAACAACATCGATGAGGCGTCTACAGGAGGAAACGGTGACAGGAAGTGGACCAAGTGGAGGAACCTGGAGGAGCAAAGTTTTCTTACCAAGTCCTCCTGAAGACGGAAAGAAAAAGGAAGGAAGAGACAGAAGAGGCTGAAACATCCGAACGCTTCAGACAGACGGAGACGAACGGCCGAACGAACCCGAAGGAGGTCGGACAGTCAGAACATGTCGGGAAATCAGGAAGGTTTTAGGGAAATTTATGACATGTTTGAAAAAGTAATTAATGTTTGGATAAATTAGGGACACTTCTGGATGTTGGGTTTGTTGTATTTTAAAGTTACGATGCTTTTGGAAAACTTTAGTTATTTGAAAAAACTTGGAGATTATATTCTAAAAAAGGAAGAAAATTTACTTAATAAACTGAGAAAGTCATTAATTTTGGGGGAAAAAAGGAAATTAGGGACATTTTTGGAACATTCAGGACATTAAAAAAAAAATACAGAAAATATATTTAAATAAAAGAAAAGTCAAACTGGAAACTGAAAAAGCTTCGATGTTCTTTTGGGCAAAAATAAAAATAAAAATGAGCGTGTGTCGTCATTCTGTTGCTATTTCCCAAATTACAGCCAAAGTTCTAGAATCCAGCCTTAACATATAACAACATATTTAGAAACGAGGGAATATTTTCTTGGACTTGTAAAACGACAGACGGCTGGAAACTGAACATTTATAAAGTTGTGATTCTTTTAGTTGTAAAACTGAAAAAATGTGGCAGGAATTCAGTCTGAAAAGTTTTGCTGGTGGTTGTTTTAACTGAACTGATGTCGTTTATGGGTTCTTAAACAGATTTTCAGCCTTTTATTTCAGCCGTTCACAGTCTGATCTGATCGTCGGGAAGCTGCTGCCTGCTGTGTTGGCAGCTCAGCATCCGACCGACGGTTTTCATCTGTTACGGATCGATTCAGTTCAGATTTATTACAACGTGAAGGATGAACGGAACAAAGGAAACAGTGAAAGACCAGAAGGATGGAGGTGGTGGGAGGACGACAAGACAGACAGACAGTCAGACAGACA